GCTATATAAATAAAATTGAATTGAATTGAATATCACACGTGTTGGTCCAGGTCTTTACGAAGAGAAAACTAATTATGATGATAAATGAGGGTACTTGTTTACTTGCTAATGCTAGCTTTGTTTCCACGCAATACACAACTTGTAACTGATCTCAGGGATTTCCACAACATGGATTTATACACAAACAATCAGCTACAAGCTGCTGTCCTCTTAGCTTGACAAGATGCAGCCATGATTAACTGGGCACAGATGTTGATTAGGACACCTACCATATATTGATTTCAGTAGCTCTATAATCAAGCAGTGTCAAGTCTACTTTCAGAGACAATAGCCAACTGTGGCCATAGGATGGCAGTGATGTAAAGGATGGACGCAGACAGTCATGAGTACAGCTTTATGACAGAATGCTGTTTGCGCTGAAACAAGAGTGATTGCTTTACTTTGGTATACTTTAACTGATGTCTGGTTTTTTTTTTTACATTTAACTGGACAAACATTGTTTGCCTTGCTTGGCCTGACAGAATACCACGAGACTCTCTTCACAAAGCATTTTATTTACCAATCTTCTGCAAATTCTCCAACAAACAACATTTCCCACTCTTAAGATAATTAAAATTTATCTGAATAGATATTTAGTGACATTTGGCAAAGAAGAGGTACACACAAAGCTAGTGTTAGCTTTCGACAGGAAGGTTTATTCTTCCTCAATAAGATTATTCTAATCATGCTGATAAAACTAGAAACAAAAGCAAAGCTCTATTCAGTATTTTCCAATGACGAAGAAATGTACCAAAAAAACAAACAACTGCTTTATCACTTTATCACAGCACCTGACTCAGGTAAGGTTTCTGATTAACACTGCTCTCAAATGAGATTATGACTATAATGAAATGACTATGATATTTATTTTCCATTATCTGTTGTGCTTTGTTTAAATGTCAAAAATCACTGGGAAAAGCTTTAAATAATTTATCTTTTATATGTGATTTAAAAACAAATCTGAATCGCAAAACATCTGAACAATCATG